GTTACTCTTTACCTTGCACCTTGTATCTTTGCATTTTGGTGTCATCACCAGAAAGCCTGTCAAATTAAGATGATGCAAGCTTTTGAACTAAGTGAATTGCTTGTACTTTATTGAATTTTCATCCTAACGATGACAATATGAACAGAGACATCTCCCTAGAGTTTGATAAAAAAAAAGTGGCTGACATGAGCTGATTTTACATGAGGAAAAAGAGCTTTCAGGAAATTAATACACAGCATCTAACATTCGCTGTCTTGCATATCAGACTGATACCTCAGTAGGACATCATAAAACCCCAAGAACTGGATTAGCTAAGATACAATCAAAGCCTCTGGCTCCAGACAGCAAAGGTAGTATCAGGTTGTTTTATAAAACAAATGCTACCCTAAAAGTCTCCATCTAGCCAAACAGTGTCAAAGAAATTTGCAACCTGTGACATTTCATGGAAGTCTAATAACACAAACATGGTGAAAATCTTTTGCAACAAAACAAAAACTGTGGAAAGACTAGAGAGTGAGCTATTTTCTCTATACATACTTTAAAGTACAAATTGTAAGGGCTCAACATCTGTGAGATTCTAATCTTGTGTTACCCTAAGTGTAAGTAGATTCATTTTGAGAAGTTATTTTTCAGCCTCCCTATACCTTTTGCCTATTATTGTATATGTTGTTCATAGCTTCAATACAAACATGAGGCAAGTCATAAGTACAATTAATAGAAAAGTTAGACCATGAAAACCGATTAAAGATAGGAGATAACTATGGAGATCCAGTGACTAAATACAGAAACAGTGACATCAGTTTAGTTAATGGTTACGCATCCACATGCAATTAGTCACCCAAAGAACATTTAGAGTTTGTACTATCAAGTGTATAATCTGTAATGCAACATATTTTGTTTAAACATTTTAAAATGCATAGTTTTGAAATCACTAGATAAAAACCCCCTACTTTAACTCCACATGACTCAGGCCTTAAACTGTACCCTTCTATCAGAACAACTCTTCAGTTCTTTAT